TTTGTCGAGCTACCTTCGAAACACATTTATAAATAATAAATAAATAAATATTTCCAACACTCACACCAATTAGCCTAGCCCCAAAGTAAGCACTATAAGACTTGTGTTATGGGATACTAGGGTAACGGATATAATACATATACTGTACATATATAAGTATATTTATATAAGTAGAATAACATATTAAACATCGATGACTGGAGTACAAATGCTCGTATTCATCACACAAACATCTGCACCCACCGGGATTCGAACCCGGGACCTCTCGAGTCGGCGACACCATGAAACCCGGCGTACAAACCACTCGGCCACGGAGGTCGTCAGATTCACATTTATTGAGCGTTCGGATATTTCATTGGAAGATTTTTAAAACTTTATTGTGTATGTATGAATTTATCTGCTAAATCTTTATATATATAATTCTTCTGTGAGTGTGTATGTCACTGAACTTCTCTTAAACGACTGGACCGATTTTGATGAAATTTTTTGTGTGTGTTCAAGGGGATCTGAGAATGGTTTAGATTCACAATTTTGTCCGCTGGACAACCCCTATTTTTTTAGGGCGGTACGAAGTTCGCTGGGTCAGCTAGTTAATTAATAAAGTACTTTATTTAATTTTTTTTTATATTTTGGAGTTTATTTTTACATAAACTTAGTACGTTACACGGAAATGTTACATGTCAGTGTCATCCAGCTCTAAAGGTTGGCTATCGATACCAAATCGATTCGAGTAACTTGCGTGTTTCTAGCAAGCAAGGCCGGTCTTACTTACTTAGCCTCTCAATCCACTTATCTAAATCCCGCGAGAGATTACAATGACCATATTAATAACTTAACTAAGAGTTGACCTCTACATATTACTATCAGAACAAGTAGCTACCAATATTGTTGCAAAAGTTAATTAATTTATCGACTGAAGGAGTTCCATTCCACTTTTAATTAAAAACGTTTACATTATTTGTAAGGAGCTCGCTGGCGAGGGTGGTTAACGCTTTCGGCTGCGCACTTAGGAGCATTTTGAATTCAAAACCAGACAAAATTATTTTGTACTTTTATTTTATTGGAAACTAGTGGCCCTCCCTCGCTTCGCTTCGGTGTAGAGCTGTAGTGTAGACTATAGTTTTTGTTGTCAGGCTTGTATTATACACAATGACATTCTTCTAATACCTAATTACAATAGGCACGTGCCGCCATGCTCGAAAATTAGCCATTATTTGTCGTAAAAAGTAAATGACAAAAAAAAGTTATTGTGGTTTATCCATAAGAGATAGACATATACCATCACGGACTTTTCTGTAGACCTTTTCAATGTGTACAATACTTAGTACATTATTTTGCTAAAATTCAGCCTGCGTTTGCAATGTAAGCGGAAAAAATGTAATTATTAACGACATCACATTAGAAACCTCAAAAATAACAGTACTTCTCCACTATTTAATGGATGTTATTATACATATAAACCTTCCTCTTGAATCACTCTATCTATTAAAAAAAAACCGCATCAAAATCCGTTGCGTAGTTTCAAAGATTTAAGCATACAAAGGGACATAGGGACAGAGAAAGCGACTTTGTTTTATACTATGTAGTGATGATTAAAAATACGTATTTGAATAAAGATTACAATATATTTTTACTATTTTTACAAACACGGATAAAAAAACACATAATGATGAAACACATAATTTCCAATGGATCTTAGTCTGATTCATCTGAGTAAGCAAGACTCGATGATTGGTCTACTTCTGTATCCAGCTCTCCCGGCTCGAGCAACTTAATGGTTTCACTCATGAAAGGCTGGCTTTTGTTCCGTTTACGTTTCCGTAAACAACTAATAAAAGGATCTGATGTGAGTAGCAGTCTGTTAAGGACATCTTGATTACACTCAATTCTTGAAAATTTACGGGCATAATTTTGTCGATATGATCGTGCTGCGATCGTTGTAGTTAGGCTAACTAGAGCCGAGGTCCGAGTCTCAGAGGCCCACTAGTTGAGCTAACCCCCTCAGGTTCGAGTGGTCTAGAGGTTCCAGACGGAGATGAGACTCCCCCCGTGGGGAGATGCCACACACCTGGAATACCTCTAGCACTCGCCAATTCTCGGCTTGAGGTCCCCTTAGGATCTCGCCGTCCCCGAACCCGGTGACGCTGTAAAGGTCATCTGCGACCAACAGCTTCAGGCGTCAGTAATAACTTAAGTGGGTACAGCCGCGGAATTTCCGTTATTTTTCAAATGATGCCGTTGTTTTCCTGCTGAAGATTCACAGGCAGCCTCAGGAAAACAGTAGTCACTCCTCTTCACACGTTAAGGGTAGTCTTAGTACCTATAATCCAAAGGGCAGCACCTTTATAATCGTTCTCTTAAGACGGTCCAAGGGTTCAAAATTTATATAGGAGTAGGAGAGACTGTCGTTACATAATGCCTACGTTAAACTTTTAGGAAAGAGAACACCATTACAACTGTTGTTAAGCCTAGACAATAATGAAAACTCATCCTAGCGAGACACGATACGAATACGACACAAAAACGGCGGCACGGGCGTCCTCAATCGATGAGTGGCATATTGTTAACTGAAAAATTCCTACAGACATGAATCACAATATTTAAGTCATAAACCAGATTAGATAATATATTGAAAACACGCTGTGAGATTAAAAGTTATGTTTAGTGATATTAAATAATAAAACCAGTGCATATTCTTTGCTACCTAGGAATGCAGAAAAGATTGCAGTTGTCACATTCGATGTGTTTTTCCATTCTGACTATAAGGCGCTTTGCAGACGACGGGGCGGGGCGGGCCGGTCAATTTCGCCGCGAACGATAGCACAAAGTGAATCCTATACTACAAACGCACACAGAGGGCAAAAAGAGCGCGCCGCAGCTGCCCGGCGGGCACTGGCGGCGCGGCATGTCCGCGGCTCCCCGCCGTGGATCATACAAACCAGTTTATATGCAGTAACGCAGACGGCGGCGCGGGGCGGTCAGCTCAGTCCGCGCCAGGCTCTTTTTAGTGATGGACTATTCACTAGAACAAACGTCCTGAACTGACCGCCCCGCCCCGTCGTCTGCAAAGCGCCTAAGATGACTATGAGTGCTGACTTAAGATGGATATGATTCGAGTTCAAAAAAATCGTCATTTATATGATTTATTTTGACATTTTACTTTGTGTTATAAACTCAGGCTATATAAACGTAGTGTATAACTACGAGATAACTTCATGACAAAACCTGTCCAAATGCGAGTCTGAATCGCCAACGAAGTGTTCCGTGCGTAACAATATTTAAAACTAAATCGAGTCAATTTATTTTATTTTTTATTATTTGTTGTGTTATGATATGATAGCATACATGTGGCTGCGACATCTATATGCCACTCAACTAGAGCCGATGATTGATCTTTGGCGCTGCGATGGTTGAAGGTTGCTTGCTGCTGCTGTGCTCAGTCGAGGGTCACCGTAGACTGGAGCAACTCTGCAGCACACTGGCACTTGCAAGCTCGACTGACGCACTGACTGCTGAAAAATACTGACTATCGACCTCCGGTCTCGGAGGGGAGTGATGTGGCGGCGACATCTATAGCCCCCACAGATATACAACGGATGTAGGAAAAACATTACTCATCATCCTCAAGAGATGGCGTTACCTGCACTGCGATCTTAATAGTATGGAAGCCTACATCGCGCAAATGAAATTCGGAGGCTAACTCTTCATATATACGATGCCCGACTAACATCAGTCCGGCCGCGGCCCCCGAGCTAACATCACCCAGCTCGGAGGAAGATCTTCCCCTTTGGCCTTCCTACATACATTTACTTGCCACATTGCAGAAACTTTAGAGCATTCTAAGGCATATAAGTATTCTTCTAAAATTGTAGGTATCTAAGAAAATCCTTAAAAATGACTTTAAAAAAAAAACGCGAGTTAATCAGTCTATCACGACTATGTCAATTGATTAGTTAAACTTTTGGTGGTTACCTTTTGAAAAGTATGCATTCGTGTTGTTTAAATGCCCTTAAATTTGACAGCGGTGATGTAGTTTCCGTTAGTGAAACTTGCCCGAAGTGGGACGGGGCCTAGCAACTTTAAAAGAAAGGTCACGGACGACGAAGTTCTACTAATTCTAAGTGTATACTGTTGGTCTTGGCTATTACAAGCACTTGTGAATGTCGAAAAAAAACACAATCGGTTCGCAAATCTACGGCGAGAGACCTTGTACTGAGAAGAACCCGCAAGAAAGTCAGCATAAAAAAATCGACTAAAGTTAAATACAACGATTAATAGTAAATATTAAAACGTAGCAAGAGCAGACTCATCTCCGCTGGCAGCACCCGTTCACGAGCATGACACATGAACCAGCCATCGCTTCGCTCAACCATATTTTGGGGAACGCAACGACTACACGACATTGAACACAGGATACGACATTGAACATTATTCTACGGAGCTTAAGTGAAATCAATTGGAAAACGATAATATAAAAAATACCATACAATATAAACAACAATACCAAATAGTTTTACCAATACCCAATACCTATAACAGCTTAGTTGTACCCGAGGAACCCTAACGATCGAGGTTTCCAGATTGCGTGACGGCAGGTATAGTCGCAGGCAAACTATAAGTATAACATTTATTATGTACTAGCGGCCCGCCCTCGCTTCGCTTCGGTGTAGAGCTGAAGTGTAGACTACAGTTTTTGTTCTCAGGCTTGTATTATACACAATGACATTCATCTATGATTTTTCATATACCTACATGCAAAGTCTCAGCCCGATCGGTTTAAAATTGACAAAGTTTCATACGAACTTTCATTTCCTATTTTATCCCCTTGGGGGTAGAATTGATCAAAATCCTTTCTTAGCGGATGCCTACGTCATAACATCTACCTGCATGACAAAATTCAGCCCGATCCGTCCAGTGGTTTGGGCTGTGCGTTGATAGATCACTATGTCAGTCAGTCCTTTGAGTTTTATATATATAGATTTTGCATGTGGTTGTTGCAGTGCAAAGATGCGCGGGCGCACGCCCCGCTGGCGCTGGTTGGTGGCCGGGGGCGGGGCGCTACTTGCTGTGGGCGCTCTCGGAGCGGCGCTGGCCTGGAGTCTCATATTCGACTCCATACTAGCATCCGTAAGTAATACTTTTTTTCCCTATTCCCTATATCCCTACTGACATATCTCCACTAGTAGTAACAGTAGGTAAATTAAGTAAAGGTTTGTTTTATTGAAATCGTTATTGCGACTTTGTTTTCTATCTTTTACAAATTATGCAGGAAACCTAGTTAATCAAGAAACCCTTAAAAACTTATCTGTACTGGTAGCGATAAATGAAAAAAAATATCCAATTACCCCGGCTAGTGGCGATAAGGCAGTAGGTATCTCTACTGCCGTATCTCCACTAGCCGGAAAGGCTATGGAACAGGGGACTTTATTTAATACCTAGATCCGACAAATGGCTCCAACTCATCTGATGTTAAGTGATGCTGGCCTGGCACTAGTATAGTAAGCATTGTGAAAATAAGAGTATTTTAGCGTCCTCAATGCCTTTCAGCTCCTCGATGGCCTCTTTCGTCAACACCTGATTAACTGGGTGGATGTGACTCCCACCTTCGATTGCCCTCCACAATGTGTTATAGATTATAGAGCACGCAGGCATGCATAGAGTACATTAATCTATTTTAGAGTACGGTTAGCGACCCTAGTCCCCACTGCATAGGGCACAGGCCTTGGGGAAACTGGCCATGACTCAGCATGCCGGTCCAGTGCAGATTGGTGGGTGCTAACGCCTGCAGACGCAGCCGCGACTAATGGCTTAATGTGCCTTCCAAGATACGGAGGATCTCGACATAATACTGGCCATGGCGAATGTTTTTTTTATATGGTTAGGTAGGCAAATGACTTTACCCCACCTGATGTTAAGTGGTGATAAAGTCCAAACGCGAAGGTAGCTGGTACGGCAGTTATAAACTGCCACACCAAACATCTTCAACTAACCTGCAAAAATGCTTCTTCACGCCTCTCTTAAAGGACCACATATTTAAGGAAGGAGGGAACAAGTGCGCGGGCAAAGAATTCCCATTACGATCATTGTATTGTTGCTAAATCTCCGCGATCGCGGAATGGACGCGCCAATAATTTGCGCCATTGAGTTTCTTTTAAATATACTTTTATATCAAACTTTATAGACACGTTTACATTTGCAACAAAATCAGGAACTGCTTCGCTTAACCGTACTTTGGGGCACGTAACGTCTTTGCCTCAGTCAATGCCTATTACATCCATCATAATAGACTGATGATGATAAAGAGACCATATCATACACGACAAATTATTCCTGCATACTGTTTGTTCCATGCCATAATTATGGTTATTACATTCAGAATACTTATTCTCCCAGTGAAAAAAATCGTTTCACGGATTCCTCACTTCGTGTCAATTCTATAAAGATTATAAAGAGAGAATATCCACAAGCACAAGTATTTCAATAACAATCAGAATTCGCAGCCTTAACGTGACAGTACAGTAAATACGAAATTGAATTAGGCTAGTTCACGTGACTGATATTAGAAGCCGTACGCGGCTAATAGCATAACTTACTCATGTGGCATAACTGCTCATAAACCACTAAAACCCCCAGTTTATGTTATTAAAATAAATATGTACGCCCATTTCCCTAAATCTCACCGCAATTGACACACTTTCAGGAGTTATGAGAAAGTTAACTTTAAAACTATTGGCATTGTAGTTAGTTTTGTGCATGGCAATTTTCGGTTGGTAATCGGTGAAGCAGTACCTTTTTTTAAGAAGCTCAACCAATCAATCGTTCTTTGCAACGATATTTTAGAATTTTGGAAGAAGAACGACAGCTGATCTTGAGGGATTTTAAGTCAGGGTTAAGGTTTCCAGCGATGTATGGATTATTTTTCTATTAATCGGATTATAGTTTGCGTCAGTAAAGATTAGGCACCGAGTTAATTGACTACTTCTGTATGTAGCCAGACGCTATTTGCTAGGCCAGGCCCCTTAGTATGAGTACCACATTATAAATTATAATTATCATTTTTTTTCCATATTAATTTGACAATTGAGCATGATAAAAAGGAGTTATACCTTTATCATATCATAATGCTCTTGCTAGGGGGGCTTGAAACATATTATTTTCCTACTTAATCATATCCGCAATGCATATTCATTTATTTGTGTTGTGCATATCATTATAACTATGGTGTCTCACACACCGGCCCACCGACTGCAGCTTTATAAGGCACAGGTTCGGCCTCACATGGAGTACTGCTCTCATCTTTGGGCGGGGGCACCCCAGTACCAGCTTCTCCCTTTGGATCGCATCCAGCGCCGAGCGGCTCGAATCGTCGACAACCAGGACCTTTCCGATCAGCTTGATCCTTTGGCTTTGCGTAGGGATGTAGCTTCGCTCTGCATCTTCTATCGCATTTATCACGGGGAGTGTTCTAAGGAATTGTTCGGATTAATTCCAGCTGCTGCTTTCCGCCATCGTACATCGCGACAAAAATTTCATCCCCATCATCTTGATGCGTGGCTATCCACAATCGTGCGTTTGTGTCGAAATTTTTTACCACGTACGACAAAACTGTGGAATATGTTGCGCCAGCAGTGTTTCCGGACCAATACGACCCAAGAACCATCAAATAAAGAGCGTACTCCTTCCTTAAAGGCCGGCATCGCATTTGTGATACTCCTGGTGTTGCAAGTGTCCATGGGCGACGGTGATCACTTACCATCAGGTGAGCCGTCTGCTCGTATGCTATAACATAAAAAAAAAACACAGATATGAAGCTACATAATCTACATAATAAAAGTAGGAATTAAGTAAATCTATAACAGTTTGAGTTCCACTTTGTGCGATCTCTATTGTTTACTGAACAAGTTTAATTTTATTAGTATAAGAGTCTTGCGTCCATCACTTCACCATTTTCTGTAGTCCCAAAATAGTTTTTATAATGTAACAATAATATTATGTAGGTTTTTATTGTCTTTAACAATTTAAGTAAGTAATTAACGTACTTAATTCCATATAAAAAATCTGATATGATGTCAGTACACCCAGATTTAAAAAAACATATATTCAACACAATGATCACACAAATATTATAAACGCGAAAGTTTGTGAGTGTGTATGTTTGTTACTTGTTATTAATGACCCTAAGGGGCACAGGCCTGCAGTAGCAGCCGGGACCAACGGCTTAACGTGCCTTCCGAAGCACGGAGGAGCTCGAGATAGTAAATTTTTGGTCACCTATCCAATGACCGACCACTGCGAAAGTTGCTTTACTTCAACGATCGCATCCGAACGCGCTAACCACCCGCGCCATCGAGCTCTTTACATAGTTTTTAATGGCGCGGTGTGCTATGGAGACGAAACCACGAAGTTCAAGATAAATCTATTAATAATGATTTACAAAGTACAGCTCCCCAAAGCACTACGCGTTCGCTTCGAATTGGCTGCTTCCACCCTCCCAGCTTCAGAACACCGCGCTTTAGACAGTCCCTATTAGTCGACCTCAGGGATGTTAGATGGGCACCTAGAAATCCTTGTGCCGAGCTGGCTGAAAGCTGGTATTCGAGCCGGGAAACTAGTACGCCTGTGCTCCGCTCTGCGGCGCTGCCAATTCTGGGAGCTGTGTGGGAAATCGCATCATCCCAGTAAAAAAAATGTACATTTCAATTTCGTAGACCGTTAATAGAGGGCAGTGATTATCGAACACACGCAAGAAATATACTATATATACTCGATTCTTTCATCAATTGAAGAATATTAATCGTTTATAAGCACGTACAATTGATTGGAATTTTTTTTTACATGTATCTCTAAAATTTGTCGATTATTCTATGTTGTCAGTGTATTTTTGTCGGTCAACGGCCAATCTTGGTATTTTTGCGTACAAGGACTGAATAGCCTTGGTACATGGTACGTGACACTAAAAACTAGTATGTATACCAAGAAGTTGGTACGTCTGACATCATTGGTCGACCTTATTGGACGATGGTACCAGTTGATGTGCCTGTGATTGGCTATCGACGGCCAACTCGAAGCAAACGAGTAGTATTTAACGGGACCAATGTGAATCAACTTTTCTTTACTTTGTTTTTCACCTCCCTATTTTCTTGTATACCTACTTTTATCTTTACTATCCTTCTATGCTTCCTCTTTCAGACTTCTCTGGCTGGCTGTATCAAATAGCAGCCTCGAGCACGGATAGTATATTATTAAACACGTTGAAATTTGAATAAGAATAACCTAGTTAAAGAGACATATTGTAAATCTATCTATACTTATAATAAATCTGTAGAGAGGTCAATTCTGTACATGAAATATATTTTCAAAATAACTATCAGGGGGTGATTAGTGATCGATACTGATGCCAAAAATGCAATCAGTAAAATTTTTGTCTGTCTGTCTGTCTGTCTGTGTGTATGTTCCTTATAGAAACAAAAACTACTCGACGGATTTTAACTAAACTTGGTACAATTATTCTTCATACTCCTGGGCAGGTTATAGTATACTTTTCATCACGCTACAATCAATAGCAGCAGAGTAGTGAAGGGAAATGTTGGGAAAACGGGAGAAGTTACTCCATTTTTTAAACTTCCGTCGCGTGTGCAGCCTTAATGGTTAAAGTTACATAGAAATCATGTATGACGGAAATATTCTACATAAAATTGTCTAAAAAATATCCCGCAACAGCATATGACTATCTTTTATGGTTGACTCACAATAACACGTGTAATTATATAAATAAAGTCATTGTTTCCAGCACAAGCCTGAGAACAAAAACTACAGTTTACACTACAGCTCTACACCGAAGCGAAGCGAGGGCGGGTCACTAGTAATTGAATAAAAATATTATGAAAAAAAAGTACAGCCCCCGTATCAACACTATCAACTGTATGTTGCATAAATATTGTGTTGGTTCGTTGACATCTACACACATTATCAACTATAGTTTATTTAAACGTCGCTGTAACAGTTTGATATCATGTAATTAGCATTGCGAGGACGACTTCCGTGGCCGAGTGGTTTGTACGTATTTCATGGTGTCGCCGACTCGAGAGAACCCGGGTTCAAATCCCGGTGGGTGCAGATGTTTGTGT